TATTGATGATGTTCAATTCTACTATAGCCTTATTAACTTTTTGTCAACTTGTTCTGTCATTTAAAAAGTTTGTTAAAATATAGCATTAAGACTACAGAACTATTTATTCTTACATTTCTGTCAATTTTTGCTTTTATCTTTTGGAATTTTATTACTAGGAGCATCTAAGTTTAGAATTGTTTATCTTCCTGAAAAATGGTTTCTTCATTATTACTAATAACGCTTTTGGCCTGAAGTCTACTTTGATTATTAATATAGCTACTCCAGTTTAATTCTGGTTTATGATTGCATGGTATATATTTTTCCAACCTTTTATTTTCAACCTTTCTGTTCTCTTACGTTTTAGACATGTCTCTTGTATCTTGTAAATAGCATATAGTTGCATTTAAAAAAAAATCATTCTCTGAAAATTTTTGTATTTTAATTAGAGTGTTTAGTTAAATACTCACATATTTGGGTTTAAATTTACTATCTTAATGTGCTATTTGTCTCCTGTTCTACATTCCATTCTTTTACCTTTATTTTCTATTCTGGATTGACTTTTTTTTAACTTCCTTTTTTCCCCTTTGTTAGTATGGAAGTTACACATTCATTTACCACCTTTTTAGTGGTCAGTCTGATGCTAACAACATGCACCTTTCTCTTATCAAGACCAGTGTTATTTCGTACATTCATCCCATTCACAGGCAATGCAAGAGCCTGAGAATACTGACTGCATTTATCTCACCTGACTTGTGTTATTTTTTCTCCTATTTTACTTCATATTAAATATTTATTAAAATAAGCCGTTATTATTATTTTCACAGTGTTCATTTAGATCTATGTACATATTGTAATACTTGCAGTCACTGCTCTTCATCCTTCCATCCCCTGTACTTCCATCTAGAATTTTCCTTCACCTGAAAGATACTCTTTAGTATTTCCTTTAGTGCAAGTCTGTTGGTGACTAATTTTTTGTTTTTGTTTTATTGGTTTTCTTTAGTTCTACCATGCTGGGTATGGATTTATTTTTTCTTTTGGCAGGCTAGCCAGTACAGGGATCCAAACCTCTGACCTTGGTGTTACCAACACGACGCCCTCCCGAGTGAGCTAATTGACCAGCCTTATAGATTTTATAATTCACTCTGTTTGGATCTGTAAGAATTCTTACATCTGTGACTTGACAGCCATTGTCTCTTCAGTGATTTATTTCTGTCTCTTTTTTCTTTCATTTTCTTCTGGGGCTCTACTGACCCATGATAAAACATCTCACTGTATCCTGTATGTCTCTTATTTCTTTTCTATACTTCATTCTGGATAGTTTTTCTGTGCTTTCTTCCATTTTACTAATTTTCTCTTTAGTTCTAATCTGCTGTTAAGCTCATCCATTGATTTTAAAACAGCTTTACTAAAGTATAACTAATAAAAAACCGCACATATTTAAAGTATGCAATTTGATGAACTGTGGTGAAATTATCACTCCAATAAAAAGTGAAAAATCCATTACCCCCAAAAGTTTCCTCTTGCTCTATCTACTGCATTCTTAATTTCAGTTATTGCATTTCTCAGTTCTAAAACTCCATTTCATTCCTTTTTAAAGCTGCTGTCTTTTATTATAGTTTCCAAGTCACTGCTGAAATTTTTAATTTTGTCTTTTATCTCCTTAAACATAATGAGCATACTAATATCTGAGCCCCTGTGAGTCTGTGTTTTCTGTTCACGTTTTGTATTTTTGTTTGCCTGATTACCTTTGATGTTGTTTGCTTTTTCTAGTCATACTTGGAGCACTAATAATCTAGGATCACTTTAATCCAAAATTAGTTAATAAGATTTTCTAGGCCACCCCTGTGTCCTTAAGCTATTGCAGTCATAGCTGGGACAAGGCGGGGGAACTTCTGGTTCACCCTTACTCCTAGTGTGTGGTCCTTTGATGTTCCAAACCAAAGCTTTAAGGATTCCAGGCTGGATCCAAGGTGGGTCTAAACTCCAACTTTTAATTCCCACTTTTAATTTGCTAACTCTGAGAAGCTAAAGAAAGCTTAGATAATCTTCTAGCCTCTGCAGGATCAATAAATACCCCCAGGGCAAAGGCTGTTCCACATGCTGGGCTCAGCTCCAGACTGCACAGGCCATTCCCCACTACCTGGAGACTCACCAATGCTTTCAAGCAGATGCCAGCTTTACTGGCGGTCCTTGGGGGTAAGCTGGTCTGAATTACTCAGTCTGCCTTTACTGAAAGTAGAAGAATCTCTAGGCTCCCTTTAACCTGCTGTGGTCAACCGCATCCTCACCATTCCACAGTAAGCACTACTGTCAGGGTCACCAATGAACTCAATCTTGCCAAATATAATGGTCAGCTCTGTAGTTCTGTCTCCTTTTTTTTTTTTGAGACTGGCCTGTGAGAGGATCCTAACCCTCGACCTTGATCAGTAATATGCTCACCAAGTGAGATAATGGGCCAGATAACTTTCCTGGCTTTATTGCTATCCTACTTGCAGCTCCTTTTTAGTCTTCTCTGTTGTCTCCTCCCTTTGTTCTGAACCTCTAAATGTTGGAGTGACCCTGGCCGTTACTTTGGCCCTCTTCTCTACCTACATTCATTCCATGGCCCGTTGGTTGTAAATTCGACATACGAGCTATGCTGATGATTTTCTAATTTGCATATCTACCCTGTACCTCTGCTCTGATTTCCAGACTCATGAGCTGACAGACTACTACATATGTCCAACTGGACAGGCCTCCGAAGTACAACATGTCCAAAATAGAATCCACTCTTGATAAATCTCCCCAAAACCACACCTCAGTGAATGCTACCACTACTCATTCAGTTTCCCCAGTAATTCTCTTTTGGAGCAATTTTGCCCCCCAAAAGACAGTTGGCAATATCTGGACAACATTTTTGGGTGTCATTAGTAGGGGTGGCTACTGACCTCCAGTGAGTAGACCAAGATGCTCCTAAAAAGCCTACAATGCACATTTGCAGCATAATCCCCACACAGAGTTATCCAGCCTCAAATGTCAACAGTGCTGAAGTTGAGAAACCACAAGTTACACAAACCAAACCTAGAAGTCATCTCCAATTCCTTTTTATCACATTCCCTTCATTTAATCAGTAGCAAATCCTAAAAGCTCCATCTCTAAAATATGTCCTAAATAGGAATACTTCCCAAACCCAACACTAACATGCTTGTCACCTCTGGCCTGGATCACTAAAAAGCCACTTACAAGGTCTTCCTGCTTTTGCCCATGCTTTCCTTACAGAACATTCTCCAGACACAGCCAGAGAAATCCTTTTAAAATCAACCTTCTAAGGGTCAATTTTCTGCATAAAACCCACCCTGGCTTCCCATGACACTTTCTTTTTTTTAAAAGATGACCAGTAAAGGGATTTAACCCTTGATTTGGTGTTATCAGCACCACACTCTCCCAAATGAGCCATGGGCCAGCCAGTCCCTTTCCTGTGACACTTTTTTTTTTTTTTTTTTTTTGACCAGTAAGGGGATTGCAACCCTTGGCTCAGTGTTGTCCGCACCATGCTCAGCCAGTGAGCGCACTGGCCATCCCCATATAGGATCTGAACTTGCAGCCTCGGTGCTACCAGCGCCACACTCTCCCGAGTGAGCCACGGGGCCGGCCCCTGTGACACTTTCTAATCCCTGTCTCCCTCCTCACTGTCAGCCACTAAACTGCAGCCACACTGGCCTTCATGCTGTTCTTTGACCAGACCAAGCTTTTTTGCCTGCCTCAGAGCCTTTATAGTTGCTATTTCTTCTGACTGGAATATTCCTTCCCCAAATATCCACATTGCTGTCCCTTCTCATTACCCAGCTCTTTTGCTCAAATGTCACCAAAGCCTTCCCCAACATCCATATTTATGTCTACTTTTTTTTATTTGGAGGGAGGCTGGCCAGTACAGGGATCCAAACCCTTGACCTTGGTATTATCAACACCACACTCTAACCAACTGAGCTAACCAGGCAGGCCTACCTACCATATTTAAAAAGGCCGCTTCTCTCTGCTGTCTGTCTTTCCCTTTGCTTTATTTTCTTCATAGAATTTATTACTATTTATCATTTGTTTGTTGTCTCCAGTTACAAGCCCCACAGGGCAGGAACTTTGTTTTGTTCATTGCCACATCCCAGCACACACCTGGCACTTCCAGGTACTCTAATGTTTGTTGAAGGAATGCATGAAAAAACATCTGACTCTAAAGTATATGCTTCCCACAATGCAACACTACTGCATTAGTGCCTCAGTGACATATCAGACACTACTGCTGAAAGCTTGCAAGGTGCAGGCACTCAGCTATGGACATTCTCAGAGAAGATCTCTGTCAAATGACGTGCACTTTGTGTCATGACCAAGGTGGACAAGTTCTATAATGGCCCACCAACCAAGGGTGCTGTGAAAGGGGAGCCTGGAGGCCTATAAGAAAGTGGCAGAATCTCTCTCTCCTCTTCATCCAGCTACGTCCAGGGAATGAAGGAGGTGGCATCTGATTAAAGCACCAAGTTTGCAGAAAGGAAAGGATAACACTACAGCAGACTGTTTCTTCATTTTTGTACACAATCCCTGATACAAACAAACAAACAAAGGTCCTTATGATCTTGTAAGGCCTTGTTTTACTAGTCTCACTGGACGCATCAGCCAGAGTGGTGCTCTGGCAGCGTTACTTCCAGGCAGCTATGGAGGAGGACACAGAGGCAGGGCTGGGCCTCTGGTGGGGTGAAAAGTCAGACCAGCACCTCCTCCACCTAACTACAGAATGTGGACAAATGACTTACACCTGGAATCTCAAAGATATTAACTGCCAAATGGTCATAACTCTTCCTTCTGTACTGGATCCCTTGAGATGACTTAATGAGGTGACAATTTCTAACAGCTGCCTAACGAAAGCTATTGGACAAATGTTAGCTCCACTCCTCCACTGTAAGTATGGGACTTTCACTTGGCTGCTCCCAATACACATGTAAAAATAAGAACACGTTGGTGAAACGTCTTTGATTCAATTAGATAAATACCTTTAGCTTCTTTAGTTCAAATTGGTGACGTTGTAAAGAATGCTCACATTCATTCCTGCTTTCTTTAAGGGATGCATTTTCTTGTTCCAGCTCTCTCTGAAAATTGAGAAGAACATACAAAAAGAAAAGGTCTTAACTACCATATTATATTTCCCCTCAGCACAGTCCTATCTTTTTTAACATGGTACTTCTCAAAATGCCTTTTTTCCCCCCGCTGGTCACTGCAGGGTTGGGAGATGAGAATGGGAGTGGGACTGAGGAAGAGAGAACCAGTTAAAAAACTCCTCTGGGACCGGCCCGGTGGCACACTGCTACAGTGCGCCGCTTGGGAGTGCAGTGGCGCTTCCGCCGAGGGTTCGGATCCCACATACAGACCGGTTCCCGCTCACTGGCTGAGCGAGGTGTGGGAGCAACACCGAGGGTTGCGATCCGTTGGTGGAAACAAAAAAAGACAAAAAGGAAAAAAAAAAAAAACTCCTCTGGGG